GTTCGTTTGGCTACACTCAAACAGTTTTCAAATCTAGATAGTATAAAAACTACGCTAAATCTCGACTCTCCCGACCGACGCATAGCTCGATATAAAGGGAGACAATACAAACTTAGTATAAAAATGGATTATACATCCAATAGTATAAACTGAAAGTATGCAAATGGTGTATAGTGTTGCTCTATTTGGCAAATGTATTAATGTTGTATCCTCGGCTTTCTAATTATGATGTTCGGTCGTTTGAAGCTATGATTTGGTTTACCCTCGGGTATACCCCCAAAGCCACTGCTAGTCTGGCTAGTGATCATACACACTTAAATTTTTTCGCCGAGATTCCAACAGCCGAGCAGTTCTGCAATTTATTTTGCTGAGATTCAGTAACACAATTGCCGAGACTCAGCTAACAAATAACATTTTGCTGAGATATCAGCTAACAAACAGATATTTTGCAGAGATATCAGCAAAATTAAATGCCGAGGTAATCGGCTGTTGGAGATTTTACCGAGCTAGATTAAGTGTGTATGTATTGTCCTCGGTATTGTCACGTTCACTGCGTTACTTGCTGCCATTCCGTGACATGTTCTGCCGTTGATGTTGCTTCCACTGCTAGAATCATATACCGTGGTATAAAAGCCTCCCCATAGCCGGAACTGGTATGCCCAAGCGGTTGAACATTCTAAAGTGTTCGGATTCTTTGCATTCTAATATTCCGTAATGATCGATGTCGAGTGGACTAATTGCCGAACGCCACCAACGGTAGAAATTAATGGAAGACTGATGCAGTTTACTGCTTCTGCTCTTTCATAAACTGTCCTGGACAAACGAAACTGCGCGCATGGGTCCAACATGGAACGAGGTACGGCTGATCATGACAATACTCGGAATTTTCTTAGTGCTTCCGCTACTGGCCATTGCTTGCGAAGCTGGCATTGGATGAGCGAGTATGCCTAACTTGGTGACGGTGTTAGTGTATGGCTAAAACGAATTTATTAAGTTAGTGCAATTTCACTGCAATATTCTTTTGCACCTACCTCATTTCTCGCATATATCCGTATGTTGGCCATCAAATCCATTTGGTAATTTATTATCTACTTGTAGCATTCCACGCGAATATTCTCTAAATCGTTCTGAATGTTTTCGTCTGCGACTGCGCTTATGATATTTAGCGCAAAGCCAAAGTCAGTAGTGTACACTAAAAGTATTTCACACCATTATTCGAACGTAGTATAAATTTGCATTTGAAATTTAATCAGATCGATGTATAAACACAGACAAACAGACATAACACATTGAATATTTCTCCTTGTAAAACATCGTCGCTAAAACATTACCGACATCTGTTGGTGGGTAGTACGCTGAACAGATGGCGATAGTGTGTAAACGTCAAACGCAAGGGAATTGACTATGCGCGCCACAGGTGGAGGTAGTACCAACTACTATACTTTTAAATTGACCGTTAAATCACAGACAAACAGACGTAACTCTTTGAAAAAGTTTTTCTTGAAAACATAGTATCTCAAAACATAGGACCTCAGTAACGACATCTCTCAGGCTTCTCGCGGAAAACAAGCTTGCGCCCTAACTCGCAAACAATATTGCATGAAAGTTCTATAGAATGTATAGAAACGTCAAAGTGATCCGACGCCAGCGCTGCGGCGAGTAGTTCGCGAAACTGATAATATTCAAATCAACCGTTAAATGCGTGAACGAAGATACACAAAGAAGAGTTACGTCTGTTTGTCTGTGGTTAAATGCTTGTTCGATTAACAACTTGCGAGTGTTATGTCTGTTTGTCTGTGGTATAAACTTTGCGTAACCAAACATAGATTAATTTTTATACTATCTTTGATTAATAATAATTTTGAGTGTACAGACTGGAGAGTTATAACATGTTATAACGGTTGTCAACTAATTGCAACAACGGCGCCGGTGGTGTAGTGGTAAGCGTGATTACCTCTCACCCCAGCAGGCCTGGGTTCAATCCCAGTCAGCGCCGCCGGGATGTTCTGAGGCATAACATCTCTGATCACGCCTTCCTTCGGATGGGAAGTAAAGCCGTTGGTCCCCGGTTCATGAGTTGATGGGTCGATAGGTAGGGTCCAGATGTGGGAGCTGCCTTCCTGGCACGTCGGTAGCATTGGTGCTCAGCACGGAAAACAAGATCGACGGAAAAAACAAACCAAAGGAAAAAAAAAAAAAAACTAATTGCAACACAGAAACCACCATCAAGATAGCGCTATAACATGTTATAACCAACAATCAATACGAAACTATCGATTTGAAATTGGCTCGCTACTTGACTAGCCTATTGATCCCAAGCAAACGATTAACGTATCCCATTCTAGTCGGAATTCTAGTACTAAACTATGTTTGTTTTGATTCGCTATGAAAGTTTGACAGATAAAATGAGGGGTTATTGGATTTTCCTATGTTTCGAGGGGTGAATCGATTAGCTTGGGACCGAAGATAGTACCAGAGCTGAGCCAAAAAGTTGAGCACGTTTCTTCGGGACCTACTAGTCTTAGAGTTACCTCTATGTTATAACTCCGTAGTCTGAACGTACTATAAGAAACACCTTCCGACTATAGTTGCTATATTCAGTCTGGCGGATAGAATCATGAAATGAATTGAATACACTTTAATACAAAAATACACAAAACTTAAAAATACATATATACGAAAAAATACAAAATACACATTTTCAAGTCGGGTAGTGTAGAATCCAAAGGGCAGACAAATGCAATTACGCTCCTTTGAAATGTTGGCACTGAATTAATATTTTATTTCTAACAATTATGCATCTGATATTAATCCCAGTTTCATCATGGTTGATTAGATTGAAGATTATCTTTTTTGAATAAATTTTAATCATTTTTGATTCTGTTTTATTAATTTTTGATTGATTTTTAATCTTTTTTGATTATATATCAGTATTAAAAAAGAATAAAATTTAATACTGGGAACATTATTTCGAATTTAATCATGCATGTCTACTGCCGAAGTAATCATGGCTCGGACTCAATAAGGTGAAGCGGGAATCTGCATACTTTTTAAGCTTTTTTGATTTAAACGCTGGCCAGACTGAGCAGTCATAACATGTTATAACGGTTGTCAAATAATTGCAACACAGAAACCACCATCAAGATAGTGCTATAACATGTTATAACTGTTGTTATAACTCTGTAGTCTGAACGTACTATTAATTTATCTTTGAGTGCTCAGTCTAGTTAAAAGGGAAGTTACTCAAAAATGAGTAAACATGCGTTTACTCAAATTTGAGTAAACGTGCCTATGGAGGAACCTGGGTAACGGTTACTCAGATGATGACATTTATCAACTGAGTAAACCTTACCCATTTCGATTGAAACGAATGAATGCCCCATTAATGCTATATGTATCCAGCTTTCCATGCTCGGTAATGGCGACCTGTTTGTATGAATAAATGTATCCTTCACTGTGCTTTTTGACACTAACTGCCCTAATAAAAAATAACCATAAACGAACGATAACCCAAATCATCGAACTATTCCACAAATGGTTTGGATGATACTCAGAACACGTCGTTAAGCAAATTAACCATACAATTTTTATTAGGGTGGAGGGCGTATGTTGTTCCATTTTCTTCTGTTCCTGGGAGAGGGAAAGGGAAGGGAAATTCGAACATCCAGATAGTGTCAAAAAGCACAGTGAGGGATACATTTATTCATACAAACAGGCCGCCATTACCGAGCATGGAAAGCTGGATACATTATTTCGTCCAGGAAGAATATACACAGAAAAAAAAGTTGTTGAATATTACATCCAAACTGCTGCAACCAGGTCAATCCATCGGTTGTGTAATATAACGTTGTACGATGTACATCGATTTTGCGAACAAAATTACATCCATTGATGTAATATTGTATCTGCTTTTTGCTATCACATCATTATTTCATACATCAGCTTGAATTACATTGATCGATATTACATTTTTTTTGCTGTGTATATAAAAAAAAACATTATGAAATGATAATTAAGTAATTAGTAGGGCAAATGCTCCTATAGTTGTGTAGAAGCGTTAGGTTCCTATAGTTGTGTATTGAGTCTCCATACACAACTATAGGAACCTAACGCTTCTAAAGTACCGCAACTATAGGAGCGTTTCCCCTATACCAACACCAACTAGCTGCTTACAGTTTTCGCCATCCAAGCTATTACCGGTGGAAACTAACGATTTAAATTGACTCACACTGGACTAGCCTATCGGTCCCAAGTACATCCATTAACGTTTCAGAGCTGAACCAAAAAGTTGAGCACTTTTCTTCGGGACCTTCTGGTCTTAGAGTTAACTTTATGCTGGTCTTAGAGTTAACTTTATGACGTAGGGGAAACGCTCCTATAGTTGCGGTACGTTAGAAGCGTTAGGTTCTTATAGTTGTGCATGGAGACTCAATAAACAACTATAGGTACCTAACGCTTCTAACGTACCGCAACTATAGGAGCGTTTACCCTAGTTGCTTCATTTTCACTGATTCACTTCTAAAAACTAATTTTAGATTCACTGCGGAAAAACTCGCCCGTTCACAACTTCAAAGCGCGCTATTTTGAACTTAGGAAAAAATGATATCAGAACCATTTACCCAGAATTTGAGTATATTCCACTCATCGGAGCAAAACCAGTTTACTCATTTTTTGACAACTCCATACAGCAAAAATGGGTGCGATCCACCCAGTCACTGAGGAGCCTCAAAATAGCGTGTACTTTCTTTCTCGATTTTGAGGTGTTCCGTCTTTCCGTGTACCGTGTATCGGATTGGTGTTGCGTTGATGCTAGGTAGTCTTGTTTCGTGCCGCTGCCAAGAATTTTCTTAAATGTCAATCCAAAATGACGCTGAACGACAGATTTTCACGCGTGTTTTGCTTCTGATCGTCATCTTCAATCGTTGCGAATTGTTAGTGTGTCGAATTTGGTATTTTTGGTGATAATTTTCGGTTAAATTGCGGTAAATCTAAATAATTTCATCAGAAATCATAGCAAGAAACATCACAGCTTGCGCGTTCTTGCTTGCGGTAATGTGGCAAAAACGCTAAGCTTTTGTTTCTTCGTGATATATCGTCGGACTTACGCCCTGCAGAAGATCCAGTGGTGGTGTGAAAAATCAATAACGTCCAGAATCGAGTGTAATTTTATTTCGATTTTCTACCTCCAGTCGATGTGAGCATACTCAATTCCTAGTCCTGCTGTCCTACACGTTCAAGGGATAGCGGAAAAAGAGTCTCGATTTGCTAAAATTGAGCATGATCGACATTGGTTGGCCTGGTAGAAAATCGCAAGCCTCAGTCAAACTTTCCAGAACAGTCAGTGTGTTTTTTTCTGTGCAATAAAAAGTGACAAAATGGACAATGTGATGCCTCCTCCACCGGAGGCCAATTGCTTTCCGGTTCCGCCACCTCCACCTCCATCGGCAGCACCACCACCTCCGTTGCCACAGTCTGAGGGAGGTGAATCTTCTCCATCCGGCGAGCGAAGGAAGTACTCCTCCATGGGTGAGTGTCCCTATGCAAAGCGGAGAAAGATGACTGCATTCTACGACGACGAAGATTTGGATGGCATTGACGATGATGATGAAGAAGAGGAAGAGGACGAGGATGACGAGCGCCCTGGGGAGGAACGTCGGGAGGATTTGAATGATCAATTGAGGCAGTTCCAAGTGTTGGACGAAGTTCAGGGAGATAATTCCGAGGACGACATTGATGGTTAGAAACGGGGTGTGGTTGGTTGACGCGTGAGATATTCTTTTAATGGTTATTACATTTTTCAGACGGTCAAGACGACGGTGATGGCGAAGATAATAGTTCGGAGGGTTCTGGAGTTGACATCGAGGAACTAGATAATTTACTAGAGGAAAATCTCCCGGAGGGAATGAAATCGAGTGGTCCCAAAGCGAAAGCCTACGAGGAACGGTTTAAGGAAGTTTTGGAAGAAAAAGGTCGGAATCATTTTGAGGTTCTTCCTGAGGGATGGGTGCAGGCCACGCACGTTAGTGGGATGCCACTGTTTTTGCATACAGCCTCCAGAGTTTGTACATCATCCAGGCCGTATTTTTTGGGTCCCGGAAGTGTGAGGGTAAGGTTTGAATTCTGTAATTTAGTAGTGTTACGGTTTAATGAGACTCTCCCTTTTAGAAACACGAAATTCCTCTTAGTGCCATACCTTGTTTGAACTACAGGAAAGCTCTAGAGAAGGAAGAAGAGCTTCGCAAGGAAATTGAAGCAAATGCTGCGGCCGCTGAAGAAGCGCAGAACAATGCCAATTCCAACGACAAAGAGAATCAAGACTCGGAAAAGCAAATGCACAATCCCCAGTTGAGTAAGATGATTGCCAGTGCAACAACCCTGGCTGAAGCCCAGGCCAACGCCAAGATGCTTCCCCTGAAGGTGACTGCCCGAATTGAGACTGTTAATGAAAACCTTAAGGCCCAATCGCTTACGGCCGATATATTTCAAGAATACTGCAAGAAGTTGTTCAGATTCAAAACCATTCGGGTGATGCGATTTAAATCGTGGGCTGCAAGGCGAAAACTTACCAAGCACCGAAAGCATATGAAGAACCTTCAAAGGCCAACGCTACCGGATGGGACAAAGTTGATAACGTTTCCGGTGCTTCATACCGAAGGCGAGAAAGGCAACACCCACGCTCGCCCCAAGAAGGAATGGATCATGAACCCGAATGGAAAGAGTTATGTCTGTATTCTTCACGAATACGTCCAGCATGCCCTCCGGAAGCAACCGAGCTACGAATTTAAAGAGCTGGAGAACGCTGCCACTCCCTACTCGGCTACGGTTTCGATCAATGAACTCAAGTACGGAACAGGATATGGCACGAGCAAGAAACAGGCCAAAAGTGAAGCCGCTCGTGAAACGTTGGAAATTTTGATTCCCGATATGAAAGACAAAATTACCAGTAAGGATAATAAGAAGGATCAGAATGGCACGGCCGAACAACAGCCGGAAGCTCGTAATCTGTCTGTGTTCGATGAGATCAAGATTGAAGATCCCAGAGTGGCGGAGTTTTGTGCCAAAACGACCGAACCATCGCCGCACACCATTCTGCAAACTTGCCTACAGAGGAACTTTGGCCTGGGAGATGTTCAGATTCAGTACGACGTGAAGGCGGGCAAGCATCGGAAGAACGAATTCACCATGACTGTTGGGAAGCACACGGCAACGGTGGTTTGCAAGAACAAACGCGACGGAAAACAGCGGGCGTCCCAGGCGATTTTGCAGGTAAAGTCGATTCAACCCTGTAAGTAAATAATAAATTGCCAATAATTTCCCAATCTTCCAGATCCTGCACCCGCACATCAAAACGTGGGGCTCGTTGCTGCGGCTGTACGGCAACCACTCGATCAAGTCCTACAAGGAGAAAAAGCAGGAAGAGCAGGAGATCACCATCCTGCAGAGCATGGCAGCCATCAATCAACCAAACTATGCAATCCTCAACAAACTGAAGTTGGAAATGTCCAAGCTGGAGGAACGGCAGAAAAATGTTCGCGTCATCGGTACGTTCGTGCCGGACGTGGACCTACCGTCGTCGTCCGGTTCCAATCTAAAGAATGTGGATCTCTAGACATTAAATGCACCTACCCTTCAATGTGCATGGGATACGGTGGCGTAGTAAAAAATCAGTTCAAGAGGGGTTCTGACAAATTCTACTTAGGTGACGTAGATTTTTTTAATGAATATAACGGTTATTCTTTACTCATTGTGTCGTTCATTTGTTTATTCTACATGAAATCATACCTTTCGGCTACCAATTATCACTTCCTCTCTTCATTCGCAAATGTAACTTCAACATTCGCAACTCATCTTCCATAACATAAACTTCAATATCTGGACCCAGAGGCGAACCAAGCTTCTTTTTACAACGAAACAAATTAATCTTAATCTAATCTAACACCAACACAGCCAGTTCTTGAAAGCATCCTGGAAAATAATGGATTTACATACATCATTTTTCTTGTCTATTTGATATATGTTTCACATCGAAGATGCGTCACACATATCAAAACGGCCAGGCCTACTGTGCAGCATTTAAGGGGCAAGATGATTCAGAAAACATCGGGCCTATTTAAATCGAAGATTTAAACACGATGCTTCAGAATCCAATAAAAAGATGAAACGTGAACATCTCGTACCGTACGTTCCGATTTTGGTAATTATATGATTGGTTGGTCGTTGGAAGCATCAAAGCTAGAAAGGTTAAGTGATGCTCCATTTTCTTCTAACGGTTGGGACATGAGCATTAACTCTTGTCCTAGCCTTTTATGGCTTATGGCTATAGCGCCATTACTCGCTTTCTGAAAAGAGAAGAGGGAAAGGAAAAGGAGAAGGACAAAGGGAAAAGGATTATGTAAACTCTATGAACATAATCAATATTTTAATTTGAAATATACTTATATATATATACTTGCATATCAGCGGTGGTCACTACCCGAGTCTTGTCACTATTATCAAGTCATAAAAAGTAACAAGCACTAAAATTTAATCCTTTCATTACTGAAAAATCCTGATCCTAGTTTTAAGTTGTCACGACTAGGATTCGGTGGTAGATCTTATATCAGTAACGCACCACAAAAATTAAAAAATTTACAAAATGGAACGAACTCACCAAGTTTAGCCAATTGAACTGAAGGCTGGCTGACATGTGTTGATGTAGAAGTCCAAATTGTAGACGAAGCTTGACGAAGATCAATATGAACTAGTCCGGTTTATGGTAGTTGCGCGGAATGTCTTCCGTCGATTTGAGATTAACAAATATTCGAATGTATGTAGTCGATTTTCGATGTGCATTGGCAAGCCTTTTCGTGGCCAAGTCAGGTTCAACGCTGCGACTCAACGAATGATGGGACGCCTCGTGGAGGTTCTACTTGTCTTCGGAACAGCTTCTCAGCGGCAAATAATAGGGACTGAGGAACTAGAAACTGTCTCCTGGGCCTGGTTTTGGCCAGATCAGCAACAGATTATAGATAAAAAAAACTCCACGGAAAAATCGAATGTGCAGGAAGGCAGCTTCCACACCTGCGTAAGATATCGCACCCATTCAAACACACATGGGCCGGGACCAACGGCTTTACTTCCCTTCCGAAGGAAGACGTGACCAGAGATTTTTATGCGTCAGAAAATCTCGTCCATACAGCAAGATGCAGTCATCCGTGATACTCAACCGGAAAAGTAATTTTTGAGGAATATTCCCAAAAGTAAATTTGACAGCTATAGGGAGGTGTCTTTTGCTAAATTTTGAGATCATAGGGGGGTGTCGTCTAATTTTAAAATCAACAATTATCACGGTGCAAAACCAAATTGGCGTTGACGGCGACTCTGTAGCTTTTTACTCCACTGGTAAAATCCTAAGAGGAAGAGGTGACAATTGGCTTCTTCCTCTTTTATTTTTATCTCTATCTCTATCTTTATCTATCTCTAACTCTATCTTACGCACATGAAATCGGCCAATCAGGAGCTGGTTCACGTTTGACAGAAAAGTGGTTCATTTTCGCCCACGTATTGGAAGATTTCACGAGAAAACGACATCTAGGCGGCGCTGCTGTGCTTGTGATGATCGAATCAAAATTTATGTCAAACCGCGAATAAATTTGTAAACAAGCATAAGAAAAACACTTTTTGGTAGTTAAATAGTGGAAATTGTTGTAAATGTCTTACTGAGAACGGTTAAAAAACGTTTTTTCGAAGCGATGGTAAGTAAATTAGTCAAACAAATGCAGTATAACTTTAATTTATTGGGTGTTATTTTTAGGAAGGAGGGAAGCCTACTCGGTGTGCTGTTCCCGGTTGCAGGACACATGATGAGACCAGAATGTTTACTGCTCCCGGAAGGACTCACAAATTTTTTAAGAAGTGGTGCGATCTCATCAATCTCGGAGGGAATCGAGAAGAGAAAATTTGCAAGTTGCACTTCACCGAAAAGGATTTTATCATCAGTAGGTTTTTTCATCTATGAGTATGAATACAAATTGAAGTAATGTTTGTGTTTTAGATACTCGTAGAAGGGTACGCCGCGATGCCGTGCCATCGGTGAATTTACCTGAAGCAGATCCGTACCTAAAATCCGATGGAGTATGCTGTATTTCCACTTGCCGGAACCGGTCAATGAAAATGCTGACGGCTTTTCCTTCGGCCAAGCAGAAAAAGCAACACCAACGATGGAAGAAAGCACTGCGCTTGACAAGCGACGTGCCAAATGCTTGCTTGAGGGTGTGCTCGCGGCATTTTAAACCAAGCGATGTATTGACCGGTAAATATCCTGAACACTGACCAAGAGCTAAGTAATTAACTAGGTATTTTTTCTTGTTCTAGTAACATCACGATATTTAAAAACCAACGCCGTTCCAAACGTTCGAGTCAAGCGACTTGTTCGCTGCCCACGTCGGCAGATTCGAAGTCTGGAGGATACGCCAGAGCATTTGAAGGACCATACTTATTACCGTTCCATATTCAAGCCCCGGAGCAACAGGATTTGTTCTGTTTACGGTTGTTCTCAACGTACTGGAAACAACATACATCTACACAGTTTCCCGAGCAAGCAAGACGTCCGATATAAGGAGTGGATTAGAGTCCTCCGATATGGCAAAAAACTTCCGCTGAATGCTAAAGTCTGCAGCTCGCATTTCGTGACGGCTGATTTTATTAGAGGTACGTTACCAAGGTCTTTGCCCGGGTCTGTTCAATTGTCTCGTATTTGAGGAGGGAGTCTGGTAATTCTCAACGAGGGGATGGGAGCCCGTAACACGGGTAGATCTCCTCTCCATTATGCTCGTTTCAGGATCAGATTGCACCGAGGATAATCTTAAATGAGGGGGTCAAAAGGAAAGGAGTTTAAGTGATAAGGGGCTTTCCATATACCACGTGGATAGCTTAGTGGGGGAGGGGAAGTGGGGTAGGCAAATATCCACGGTCCATACAAAATATAATTATATGAATGCTTTTCCATGCAGGGGGAAGGGAGGGGTCAAAAACCTCTCGAAAACCGTCCACGTGGAATATGGACAGTAGGGTGGGCCTAGGGCCAAAGCACATGGTTAATAACTTTTTGCACAAAAGTCGGATCGGTTTTCAGTCTTCGGCAAAGTTGTTCTGTATAGTTTTCTTAATCTAAATCCCAGGTATGAGCAATATTGAGCAATGTTTGAATCTTTGACATGCGAATGACTAGATTTATTCCGTTCTCCATACATTTTTCCATACCAAATTTGAAATTCTCCCGCAAATCACGAGGTTAACTATATTCGCTCAAATTTTGCACAGTTTTTGGGAACCATTATACACTTCGAAAAAGCAGTAAGGAGCAGGGCAGTGGGTTGCAAAGTTGGCCCATCTTAATGGACAGCCCCTTATATGAGCCGTGTAAATTTAGCAGCATCCCCTCCCCTTTAGAGGTGTCTAAACAATATATGGGCAGCCCTAATTTTACATATTTTCAACAAGTATTTTGTCAATGGTAGGAAAGATACTACAGTTATCCACCATCTTCAGGTGTATTTGAGATAAATTGGTGAACAAACTATTTCAAAAACTTTGACTATATGTTTTAGTATTACTTCTACGTGAAGTCAACGATTTACATAGTTCAAGATGCTAATTTCAAATAACAGACTGTAGTGGTAATTGTTATACGATAGATGGAGTAGATGAAAGCATAGAGTTGATAGTTTCGTTAGAGTACGGCAGTGTGCAGATTGCATATAGATATTAGAATAGCGAGCTAGGACAACTTTTTAAGGAAGGTACAAATCGGTTTTTTCATCTCTCTTTACCAAACTTTGGAATTCCAGGATTCTCCAAGTTAAAATGAAATTCCCTGAGAATTCCCGGTTTTCCAGGTTTTTTTCAGGTATTAGACGCCCAGTACAGTCAAGATTCCTATAGAACAGATTTGTTAATGCCGGATTCCTATAGCGCGGGTTCCACAAGATTCCGATATGGCGGTAAAACCGACATTAACGAATACACGTATCATATGGGATTTGAGCTAATTGGGGCCCAACTCTGATTATGAAGCAATTGGACTCCTGGTGTCTTTGGGAATGTTGTAGAGCAAGAAGATTGCCACCATCTGGCGAGCTTCCGCAAGGGCACCAGCTGGTCCTCTGAGTATGCCGGAAGATCCGGAACAACCGTAAAAGTGGTCAATTCATAAAATAGGTCCTAGAGACCTGCGGTTTTTTTTTTTCTTAAGCACTTCTACATGACTCATAAAATAGAATTTGGACTTGTGACCAGAAAATGGACCCTGGTGTCCACAGGGTGTCCTTCCGGAAGATCCGGAACAACCGTAAAAGTGGTCAATTCATAAAATATGTCCTAGAGACCTGCGGTTTTTTTTTCTAAAGTACTTCTTCAGGACTCATCAGATAGAATTTGGACTTGGGATCAGAAAATGGACCCTGGTACTGGGTGTCCTTTCGGAAGATCCGGAACAATCGTAAAAGTGGTCAATTCATGAAATTGGTCCTAGGCTCTGCGGTTTTTTTTCTAAAGCACTTCTACAGGACTCATCAGATAGAATGTGGAATTGTGACCAGAAAATGGACCCTTGTACCACAAACGAAGTGACAGACGACTAACTGGCGAAGAAATCAATTAAAATAATGTGGTTCGCTGTAGTAGAATTTTCTTAGAAGCTTCTGCCATCATCCACCAGATGGGATAGTATTTTTGTTTTGGTTTTGCACAAAGTTGATTTTGTGTACAATGATTCTTTGACAGTGTGCAAAGAGTGCGTATCATTTTGTCATTTTTTTATGCATTTCAGTTTTGAGTAGAGTGAAAGAGATAGAACCAAAACATTCTAGTACATTTGGTGAAAATGCTAGTGCAATCCAGTAGTAGCATAGATGTAACTCTAAGACCACTGGGTCCCGAAGAAAATCATTATTATTTTTGGCTCACTCAGTACCAGAACAACGGTCCCAAGCAGTCCCAAGCTATTTCACTCACCCCTGCATGTTCTGCATGAATCCACACACCCCTGATGTTATCTGTCAAACTTTCATAGCGAATCAAAACAAACATAGTGTAGTAATAGAATTTCAACTAGAATAGGGTACGTTAATCGTTTACTTGGGACCAATAGGCTACTAAAGTGGTGAGCCAATTTAAAATCGTTAGTTTCGTATTGATTGTTGGTAGTAGTGTTGCCATGTGGTACAATCCAGTAGTAGTGGTGTTGCCGTGTGGTACACTGAAAAATTTTAATTAATTAAGTTAGTCACCAAAGTTTTCGAGCCGCTCCGTCTGTCACTTCGTTTGTGCTTGTACTAGGTGTCCTTCCGGAAGATCCGGAACAACCGTAAAAGTGGTCAATTCATGAAATTGGTCATGCTTTGCTTGAAGTGTTTTAGAAAAAAAAACCGCAGGTCTCTAGGATCAATTGCATGAATTGACCACTTTTACGGATGTTCCGGATCTTCCGGCACTCCCAGAGAACCAGCTGGTGCCCAAGTGGATGCTTTATGTCGCCAGATGGTGATCATCTTCCTGCTCTACAATTCCTTAAATTTAATTAATTAATTTATCTTTATTAGGGAGGCTTTCAGCCTTGGGCTGGTTCGCCTCCATCAATTCCTTAAAGACCAGGGCATTATCTTGTCAAATTGCTTCATAAACAGGGTTTGGCTCTAATTAACTTAAATCCCTTATGCTACGTGTACTCGTTAATGCCGATTCCTATAGCGCGGTCACTATTACCCGCGCTATTGGAATCTTGACTGTATTCAATTCTTAGTCTTGAAAAATATCCAAAGGAATTTGTGAAGATTTTTGATCAACTAATTGAATCTTTGTAATAACTCCTGGTAAGCGTGATATATTTAGAGACATGACAGATGGAGTTTTTCAGAATATTACCCGATCAACTAGAATAATTCTTGATCAGTCAGTCAGTACGAAATTTTACTTGATCAACTCAAAGTATTGAAAAAAAAAATATCCAAGAAAATCTATGCAGATTTTTTATTAACTGATGGTCTTTGGAGTAATTCCTGGGCCTTGAGATATCTTGAGGGAATTTATGAGAGCCCAGAATTAAAATGTTGATGAAGAAATATTCATAGGAATACATCATATCTTAGATCAACTAAAACTCTTTGGAAAAATAAAAGGTCAAAATGATAACCTGCAAGAACATCTAAAAACAACTCTGTTGAAAATGCAAGAATGGCATAACAGAATGACAGAGAGACAAGATTTTAACTGTTGGAAAGTTGAATACAGGGTGCAGAAAAATTCAAGGAACTTCAGGAATCTTCAAAAAATTTCAGAACGGAACTTCATTTGTGTTCTATGGATTTCTCTTCAGTTCCCTAAACTTCTCTGAAGTTTCTTGTAATTTCCTGAAGCTCCTTGAAATTACCTGACGTTCCTTGGAATTCCCTGAAGTTCTTTGAAATCCTCTGATCCTCCTTTGATTTTCTCTAAAGTTCTTGAATTTCTTTGAAGCTCCTTGAACTTCTCTACAGCTCCTTGAAGTTCACTAAAATTCAGAGAAGTTCAGAGAACTTCAGAGATGTTCAGAGAACTTCAGAAAAGTTCAGAGAAATTTAAAGAACTTCAGAAAAGTACAGATAACTTCAGAGATGTTCAGAGAACTTCAGAGAAGTTCAGAGAAATTTAAAGAACTTCAGAAAAGTACAGATAACTTTAGAGAAGTACAGAGAACTTTAGAGAAGTTCAGAGAACTTCAGAAAAGTTCAGAGAACTTTAGGGAAGTTCAAAGAACTTCAGAGAAATTCAGAGAACTTCAGAGAAGTTCAGAGAAGTTCAGCGAAATGCAGAGAACTTCAGAAAAGTACAGATTACTTTAAAGAAGTACAGAGAACTTTAGAGAAGTTCAGAGAACTTCAGAAAAGTTCAGAGAACTTTAGGGAAGTTCAAAGAACTTCAGAGAAATTCAGAGAACTTCAGAGAAGTTCAGAGAACTTCAGCGAAATGCAGAGAACTTCAGAAAAGTACAGATTACTTTAAAGAAGTACAGAGAACTTTAGAGAAGTTCAGAGAAGTTCAGAGAAGTTCAGAGAACTTTAGGGAAGTTCAAAGAACTTCAGAGAAATCCAGAGAACTTCAGAGAAGTTCAGAGAACTTCAGCGAAATTCAGAGAACTTCAGAAAAGTACAGATTACTTTAGAGAAGTACAGAGAACTTTAGAGAAGTTCAGAGAATTTTAGAGCAGTTCAGAGAAGTTCAGAGAAATTTAAAGAACTTCAGAAAAGTAAAGATAACTTTAGAGAAGTACAGAGAACTTTAGAGAAGTTCAGAGAACTATAGTGAAGTTCAAAAAACTTCAGAGAAATTCAGAGAAATTCAGAGAACTTCAGAAAAGTTCAGAGAACTTCAGAGAAGTTCAGATTACTTTAGAGAAGTACAGAGAACTTTAGAGAAGTTCAGAGAATTTCAGAGCAGTTCAAAGAAGTTCAGAGAAGTTCAGAGAAGTTCAGATAACTTCAGAGAAGTTCAGATTACTTTAGAGAAGTACAGAGAACTTTAGAGAAGTTCAGAGAATTTAGAGCAGTTCAGAGAAGTTCAGAGAAGTACAGAGAACTTTAGAGAAGTTCAGAGAATTTCAGAGCAGTTCAGAGAAGTTCAGAGAACTTCAGATAAGTTCAGAGAACTTCAGAGAAGTTCAGAGAACTTCAGAGAACTTCAGAAAAGTACAGATAACTTCAGAGAAGTTCAGAGAACTTCAGAAAAGTACATATAACTTTAGAGAGGTTCAGAGAACTTCAGAGAACTTGTAAGACTTTCCCGAATTTTGTAGAACTTGCATGAAGTTCGAAGGCCTTATCTGAAGGTTTTAGAAATAGAACTTTTTTTATTGAACATGTAAACAGGTACTTCAAAGTAGCTACGCGTCGGCACTGCTTAAATCTGCTATCAATTAAGCACAAATCAAACATGCAATTGATTCAAGAAAAAAATTAATTAAAAATAAATACAAAATATATTTACTAAATTCTCAGGGTAAATTTTGTTCATCAATGTATAGTTGTGTGAAAGATTTAGCTTGAACAAAATAGTTAGTTTTGACCTAAAAACTTCTTATAAAAAGAAACTTTGACATACATAAAATTTAAAACCTATTCAAATTATACAAACAAGAATATTTTCCTGGTAGACTTATGAAATTCCTGGGTTTTCCCGGTTTTTCCTGGTGAAAATAAATTCCCGACTTTTCCCAGTTTTCCTGGTTCACTTGCCACTCTGAAATTCGTTCTGAAAGGGTTAATTAGCAACACTATTTGTTGGGATGTGTTTACCTGGAGTAGTTGTAGTTTATGTTAAAAATTTAAAATGCATCAAATTATTACCCATTTTTCTGTTTTTTTTTTTTAGGATCCTATCGGCTAAACTGTTTTGCGATACCGTCACAAAATCTTCCGAGAACATCGAACAAAAATGGCAGCGATTTTCTGGATTTTCGAACAGGCTTCATTGACGACAGTTTCGATCTATCATTATCGTTGTTTACTGGCGATATTGACGATTCTGATGTAACCCAAGATCAAGACGTACTTGAAGTAGATTTTGGAAAGAAGACTCTGACACAAGACGAAAATAACAACTTACCGTCGGTTTCATTGACAGAATGCATGCCCTGTTATGTTACAAATGATACATCACACATCGAAAGCTGTGGTACTACAGTACTAATAGCAGGACCGAGTAAACCAGATCCACCATTGCCGAAACCTGATCAACCATCAAATGATTTAGATACACCGTGTGAAAAGAAAAAAGTGCATCTCGTTTTGTCTGATTTGTTAGAGAGTAATGAAGACGTCATTACATGGACTGGAATACAAAGCATGGACTTACTGCAAGAGATATGCCTTGTTGCAAGGAAGCTTGAAAGCTCTGTATATTCAAAGAGCTTCAAAATGCACTGCTCTGATCGTGTTATTCTAGTCCTGGTCAAGTTGAAGCAAAATTTAACTTTTGCAGCACTTGGTACACTGTTCAGGATCAGTGCACCGACAGTTGGACGATATTTTGGATTTATGGTACAAATTCTACGCCAAATTTTGGAGAGATTTGTTTACATGCCACCGAAAGAAGAAATTCGACAGAACATCCCACTTTGCTTTAGAGGGAAATTTTCGAATGTTACTATGGTTTTGGACTGTACAGAGATTCCAGTGGCTACGCTGAAATGTTTAAACTGTCGCATTTCAACCTATTCACACTACAAAAGCAGACGAACCGTAAAATTTTTGATAGGCGTCACGCCAGCTGGATTAATATCTTTCTACAGCAGTGCATATTCTGGTAAAGCTTCTGACAAGTTCATATTTAACTCGGAGAAACTGATCGACCGCTTCGAAGCACATATGGATGAAATAATGGTAGACAAAGGGTTCAACATAGACAACGAAGTTACGGCAAAAGGTATCAAGCTGCATATACCACCGAGGCTTCAAAGCAATCAACTATCACCAGAGGAAGCAGTTTTGAACGAATCGATCGCCAAGGCTCGCGTGCATGTAGAACGCATAATGCAACGCATAAAAATATTTTCGGTGTTTCAGGATAGTATTGATGCCTGCATCCTTGGTCATATCGATGACATCATGGCTATTGTTTGTGGACTGGTAAATTTATCTAATCCAATCCTACGTGACGATAAATTTTAAAAGCTAATAATCTGGTAAGTCTGAATAAAGCAAAGCCCCATTAGATATTGGCCCCGGTGAGTGGTTGACATCCATATTGTCGCTAGAGTTGAAAACCGAAATGACCCACACGCGACAATTGATTTTTCTCTCGTTCTGTACGTTAAACATAACGTCGTATCTAGTGCGCATTATAGCGCATCATTCTACGAATACAGTGTACTAGATGCGACGTTATGGTAAACGTACAGAACGAGAGTAAAATCGATTGTCGCGAGTGGGTTATTTCGGTTTCTAACTCTACAGTCTTGCTACGCAAATAAGACCCCTCCCCCTGCATCCACTTATTAGATATTTCTGGTCTTATATGTGGATCCTGTTGGGGGTCTTATATGTGCTACATAGGACCGAATTTACTTATAATACCTGGGTCTAGTTGGTGGATGGAAAAATGATGTGCTTCATTTAAGACCCCGGGTCTTATTTGCGTAGGAAGAATGTAGTGACAATATCTCTAACGTCAAAGGCACAAGATCAAATACAGTAATGACCCGATTTTTTTACACACACCCCCCCCCCCCTCCCCCATATTTGAAATTCTGCGAAACCTATGCAGTCTTCAGTGTTTTTTTTTAGAAGGATTGGAAATCATGGTTAAGTGTTTTTGTTCGACTCTCTTCATCGACTTTTTCTTTTGATAATTACGGCTTATACAAATTTTGCGCTATTTCTGCCTCAAAGTTTGACAAAGAAGGTTCTCATATAGCATCCATAACGGCAAACGCATCAAGAAATGTGTTTACAGCTGAATTATTAAAGAAAGAGAAAGATGATAAGGATAATCGATCAAAGTCACTTACACCCCTTTCCTTCTAACGCTCTCAAATATGACGCCACCACTTTTCCGAATTTCTCAACACCCTTCCCTCTTGTGTCACACATTTTCCCATACCTGTTACACGTACTGTCACGAATTCTTAGACCCCCTCCCCCTCAACAGTGGACGTCATATTTGAATGACCCCTAAAACACCGATGCGTAATCTGGTCATTACTGTACCATCAAAAAACAGCTAGGAATGGTGGGCAAACTATTTTTCCAAAAACTAATTTAGCTTTATATTGTTGAAATTGTTAGGAAAAATGCTTACGCTTTTTTTTTTATCTATTTACAGATGATGGCACAGGGCAAAATTGGTCGCACTGCAATCTGCCTAGACAGCTGATACGGAGACGTTTCTTGTTATTTTTTTCCTGCAACAATGAACCATGAATGAATGACCGTTTTATTTAAGTTTTTATTCGTTAACCTTACATTTTTTTGATGATGCTGGCAAATAAATCAATGTTTTAATAATTAATTACTTTTAGGCAACAAATGTATCAGCATTTTAGAAAAATACAATCCTTTTAAACCGTTCACAACATTTTCTACAAACTCCAAGTCATACGAAACTTCAATCAACAAAAAATCGTCATCCTTCATTGAATACAATATAAAGTCACATTTTGGAGCACCTAAAACCCACATACACATTTGTACTTGACAATAATAATGATGTTTCTCGTTTAGTCTCCAAACTCCGCGTTCAGTACAATATTTTATGTATTTTTTCACTGTTCCGCAATTCTGAATATTTTCCACTGAGCCTGTTTCACCAATCGTTGGGCATTTAATCTCAAGTATCACGTTTCCCAATGGGTCGACACCGTCGGGTGATGCTGCAAACCAACACTCCTCTGGTTTAATAATCAAGCCACATTTCTTCACACACGGATTTCGTTTATTTTTATAGCACAGAAACGCTTTTGCTTCAGTAGATTTTCCATACTTAATGGCTGCTGTGTTTATGTTCCGCATACTCCAATATTTTGAAATTTTTCTATTCCAATCAGCATTCTCATTGAATAAATAGGTATACAGTCCATAGCAGCAACTTGCAGTGATACGTACAGTTCTTTGGATTTTCCAGTAGTTAGTGGACTGGTCCTTAGTATCCATGGCGACTTGTAATATCTTGTCCATGTTCATATATACGTTCTCTTTGTAGTACAATTGTTCAGGAAGTGACTCAAAGTCAGCATCAGCTATCACTGTATTTGAAGTTTCTTGCAATAGCATAAATTTGAGCTCATCTTCTGAACAGTATTCTACGGTTTCTCGTTCCAAAGCTCGTGATTGTACTGCTCGATTGATAGACACTATTGAGTCGTTCAGATGACGGCCATTCCTATGCTTACTGATAGCAGAATGGTTAGCAGCTAGAAATAGGAAGAAAGTTTTATCTTTAGATAAACGTTTAAAAAGGTAGGCGAAGTGCACCAGTATTGACCATTTGGCCATCTCAGTATCCAACCAAAAAATCACTGTATAACAGGTTCAATAATATTTATTATTGGCATACCGAGCAAAATCCGGCTGAACGACTCTGCTAATATCTGCTCCCTTGTAGCTTCATCTGTAGGCTCTAATTTTGGTGGATGGCTAACACAACATAGCTCCTTGATTCGTCTAGCTCCCCATGGAGCTTGTTTCTCGGCCTTAGAGATGCCCCATGCCTGGACATTGTCCGTACAAGTGAGATATTCTGCACAGCCAGATCTAAAACAAAAAATAAACATTACGAAATGCAGGACGGATTGAGGAGTATAAATAATACCGATTAAGATGCAATAAACATGCGACAATGTGTTTACAGCGACCAGTTCCGGCCTTACAAGAACAATCGCATTGCCAGCATGAAACATGAGGTGTGATCTTCAAGTTGATTCGATGTGGAACCTGGCCTGGATGCGAAGATTGACGAACAAATCCGATGAAACTTATTGCGATATCAGTTTTTTCAGTGTAACCGATGCAAATCACATGTCCGGCATCGAAAACGCAGCTACCCTCGCGGATTGGTCGGACGGAATCAGCTACATAGTCCAGTATGTCCACTAGAAGAATGCTGGTTTTGATTTCCTCCCGGCCATCAGCTGAAATTCAAAACAAACATCACATAACCCCACTTCGACCAGCAAACATTTTTTGAAGTCATTATAAGAAGTAAAATCCTGAGTAAATCGCCTCAACAATGTGTTTCACTTGTGACAATATTGAACTCTTACCTGTGGATGCCATTGTTTTATTCGGGAAATGATTTTAATTTACTGTAAATTCAAGTTTCGTTTTGCGGACCATAGAAACTAATGCGAGAATCGGAGAAACATCCTCTGTTCACTAGTTCTTATTTCCACACACAGAGTTCGCATGAGCTGTCATAGTTTTGCTGCAGGACGCCAATTGTCCCCTCTTCTCTTAGGTAAAATCCATAAGCAAACGTCAGACTGTGCGTGAAACATGGTGGACTTCGTACTCTACTGAAAATTTCCATATGAAACTGTCAATCTTTGCTAGAAAAATCGATTTTTCGGCGGTGCCGTCAACGCCAATAAAACATGTTTTGTTGTTTTTGACATCATCCACATCCAGAGGGCCAGTCACTTTCGAATGTATGGGAATGGTAGGAAACCATTTGGAAATGCATGAAAATTTTCAGGTTTTATTCAGTATCGTCTTTATGAGCAGTTTTAGATGCACAACAATTGCACGAGTACATTACTATGGTGATAAGGTAAGCACTCGTTTATTTGTTGCCTTCTGTGAAAGCAAGTTTAGTCACAAATCGTGGATTTTCTGATATTTTCCATACTGCAAAAATGATTTTCCTACCACTGAAGGGGCGACATCTCTCGGATCTTCAGTATAGCTACTACTCAAATCATACACTCAAAAATATTACAAAACCAGTATTGATTAAATTTTATGCATTTTATTATTAATCAAAATTTATACATTGGTCCGATTAATATTTTCTTCAAAACTATACTAAGTCCGATTATTGGAGTGGAATTCGATAAGTGTATACTAAAATGATCAAAAATGACAATATCAAACACGATGGCACTCGTAGTCGTTTTTCAGTTCACGTTGAAGGTGGTAACGTTCTCGAATGGTTCTGCAAACATCGTCCGCTCATTGATCGAAAGAAGCAAGCCTGCCGGAAGTGGAGTCGAAGCCTGCCATGAATGGCAACCCTGTATCGATTAGCCAATAAACTGCTAACGGATTTGATGCACAGTAATTTCTTCTATCTGTTCGACTTAACGGCCATAGCGTTAAATATGACCATTCCGGGTGGAGCCAAATTTTAGCCGCTTATCAAAGATCAAAACGTCGGGTACCTAATGATAAACCTGGGTTTGATAATGATAATTTTATGGTACTGCTTTTGTTTTAATTACAACTTTAATTTTTATTTGAAAACAATAATATTAAGCATTAAACGAAAAACAAGCAGAAAATATATTCCCTCTAATAAACCTTATGTATGCATTGCAAGCATATTTCGATTTTAAACTATTGCAGGCATAAAACATTTTTATACTAAGTCTGTATTATCTCCCTTTATACCGACCTTTGCGTCGGCACGGAGAGTTGCGATTTAGCGTAACTTTTATACTATTTAGCTTTCAATATTTTTTGAGTGTATACTTAATTGCCAACTACCTTATTTCGTTGACTGTCTGCAGTAAAGTGGACTCCACACGATTACTTTTATTGACAATAATCGTATTGTCAATACATTCTATATTGACGTCAATATATCGAGATTGACAATATTTCTGAATTCACATCATCAATATTATTGTCAATAATTCCCCTTCGCGTCAATATATTGATGCGTGTGGGGTTTGCTTAAGAGCAACCGTAACGGTCGTTGTCATATGCGCGATTATTTGAACAGCGCACAGCGCTCTCATTTTAGTTTAGTCACTCTTCTCCACACCGGTCGCTGCTATCGCAGTTATCAATTTACTCGCCGTAGTCCGTACCGGTAATGAGCATTTTGACATTTCTACGAATAGCAACCTTTCTCCCGCGCTGCTAACTTTGGTAACGCGCTTTTCACCGACTGCTATTTCAGTTACTCGTATGGCAAGCCCCGATACGGTAGCTGCACTATGATGAGAGCTGCTAAAATGAGTTACCGCTGTTCGAGATTATTACCAGAAAGGTAACTCTAATGGCGGTAAGCTCCAATCGGTATTATCCTCGGATTAAATCCCGATCAAGATTGTCCGGCTGCTTGATGTCGACATCAGAGTTATTCAACACGATGCTATGCAAACACTTCGCAGATCATCCAAACAGGGACGGTATTAAAAGTTAATCCGAGTTGGAGCTTACCGCCATAAGACCAGAAGGTCCCGAACACGGCGAACGAGAACGACCCAAAATTGAGTTTAGTTCACTCATAATCGCCAAAAGTGCAGGAACTAAGCGATGAGTAAATTTGTCTCATGGTTTCCTGTGGAAAACCTAAAAAACCTGCCGGAAAATGAGGAAAATAAGGAAATTGATGAAAATTTTATTCAGTCGCGGAGTAGTACCAATAGACTGAGTGAATCCAATCTTTACTTTTCTCAAATTCGAGAATTTTTCCCTGGAAAATCCTGGAAAAACCTGGGAAAACATGAGACAAATTTTACTCATTGCTGAGTTCCTGCACTTTTGGCGATTATGAGTGAACTAAACTCAAATTTGGGTCATTCTCATTCGCCGTGAAGAAATGTGCTCAACTTTTTGGCTCAGGTCTGGTACTCTCTTTGGTCAGAAGCTAATCGATTCGCCCCTCGAAAAATAGAAAAATCAACTAACCCCTCATTTTATCTGTCAAACTTTCATAGTGAATCAAAACAAACATTGTGTAGTACTAGAATTTCGATTAGAATGGGATACGTTAATCGTTTGCTTGGGACCAATAGGTCAAGTAGTGAGCCAATTTAAAATCGTTAGTTTCGTATTGATTGTTGGTAGTACCATAGAGGTAACTCTAAGACCACTGGGTTCCGAAGAAAATCATTATTATTTTTGGCTCTCTCAGTACCAGAACAACGGTCCCAAGCAGTCCCAAGCTATTTCACTCACCCCTGCATGTTCTGCATGAATCCACACACCCCTGATGTTATCTGTCAAATTTTCATAGCGAATCAAAACAAACATAGTGTAGTAATAGAATTTCAACAAGAATAGGGTACGTTAATCGTTTGCTTGGGACCAATAGGCTACTAAAGTGGTGAGCCAATTTAAAATCGTTAGTTTCGTATTGATTGTTGGTAGTACCAATAGACTGAGTGAATCCAATCTTTACTTTTCTCAAATTCGAGAATTTTTCCCTGGAAAATCCTGGAAAAACCTGGGAAAACATGAGACAAATTTTACTCATTGCTGAGTTCCTGCACTTTTGGCGATTATGAGTGAACTAAACTCAAATTTGGGTCATTCTCATTCGCCGTGAAGAAATGTGCTCAACTTTTTGGCTCAGGTCTGGTACTCTCTTTGGTCAGAAGCTAATCGATTCGCCCCTCGAAAAATAGAAAAATCAACTAACCCCTCATTTTATCTGTCAAACTTTCATAGTGAATCAAAACAAACATTGTGTAGTACTAGAATTTCGATTAGAATGGGATACGTTAATCGTTTGCTTGGGACCAATAGGTCAAGTAGTGAGCCAATTTAAAATCGTTAGTTTCGTATTGATTGTTGGTATGATTGTACTTGCCACTCAATAAATCATATCGTCCGGCCATTTTTCACAGAGATGGCGCTGTTCCGCTGGTAGAAAGTGATAAAAATCCCGATACATAGATTAAGAGAAGTGGGAATAACTCGCTTTCGGTGAATTTTGAGTTCAAAAAAGTAAACGACAACCTAAAGAAATTAGTCAAGGACTTTGTCGTTCTATTTTTTCCCGAAAATTATTGTTAAACAAGCTACAATAAAATAAAAAGGATTTTTCCCCATACAGTTTTGCCTGCTTTACTACCAGTTCCCAGAGAGCAAAAAAAAAATCTAATTTGAGAGAGAAAATTCTCTCTCACGAGCTCAATCTCTCAACATGCCATGTATTTTGATGACACTCGATTTGAGATTTCTCTTCCAGAGATTACAAAATGGAATACCTGTCACTACAAAACATGTCTGGTAATCATTTTGTCAAGCTTCTGCATTCATGTTTCATCAGATGTCACTGCTGTTGTTTGCGATGACATTTATGGAAAACTACTCATAATCTGTTTAACGTTAATTTTTCACAGAAGACAGAGCAGTGCAAAACATGTCTGGGACCTCTATATATGCATTTAGTTTAACATTTGAACTCGCATTTGAAGTCCTTCCTTTTTTACATATTCTGCACAAAATATACTTTCTGCCCCGCTCATACATAAAAATCGGCAAGAAATCCTGTGAGGGGTGAGCTATTTTGTGTGCAGAATGTGTAAAAAAGGAGGGACTTCGGATGTTAATCTGAATGTATATAGGGTAGAGAACTACTTCAGCCTAATCGCCCATTTTGGGCCTATGGAACAGAAAACTTCAAATAAATCCATGATTTCAGAGTTAACAAGTCAATTATGCGTTTCGTACGATACTTAAGTTAATAAGCTACCGAACGAAGTCAGTGAGAACGCGTGATATCAAGGTTTGCACCCATTATTCCCAAAAACAAAAGAAGCGCTCCGACCGAATCAAATTTTATCTTCATCCGATAGGCGGAAGTGAATTCATTGACGTTTCAATGGCGTTTCAATACGTTAGGCCGAGTTTAGAATCCGTAGGCCGAGTTTGGCGTCAAGAAGCAGTGTTAGACTTTTGACAATATCTCAACGATTGGTTTCTCTTTATCAATTCTTACGATACGTACGGAAAGGTAAATAAATTTGGAAGCTATTAGTAATAATAACATTGCGTTTGGTACCAAACTGCGCTAGATTAAGAAAGACTAAATGCGGGTTGTGCTTAATAGGCCGGAAATGAGATAGTTAACCCTATAGAGGTACCAGACATGTTTTGCGCTGCACTGTTTTCTGTGAACAATTAACGTAAAACCGATTATGATTTCCATAGATGTCATCGCAAACAACAGCAGTGACATCTGATGAAACATGAATGCAGAAGCTTGACAAAATGAGTAATTAATAACTGTGGAAGTGCATCTAGAACCCTAAGTTGAGAATACACAATCATCTAAAATGCGATAAGCAACAAGCTTGAAATTCGAAAGAGAAGATGAAGAA